CAAACAAGTTTACTATAATAAAGTCTGGTTGCCAACGGTATTTAAACCAGAAAAGAATAAGCTACGTACTTTTAACAAGTTTAAACAAAATTTTGAATTTGAACCATATTTAGAACAAATCAAAAATGTGCAACACAGGGTCAGCTTCACTAAGTTTCGCATTTCTTCTCACGCGTTGCCAATTGAAAAACTTAGATATAATAAAACACCTCCAGAGCAAAGGTTTTGTTTTCTATGTAATGAACAGGCTATTGGGGATGAATTTCATGTATTACTCACATGTAAAAATAGTCAGATTGTACAAGCTCGTACTAAATTTGAAGCTGAATTAGCAATTTATGATGATAACATTTGCAAGTTATCAACTCATGAGAAATTCAAGTGCTTGCTAGGCACTAAAGATAGCTTTATTGTCAATTGCTTGGGAAAATTTATTGATTTTATATCTAAGCTTTAGTTTAGTATATTGTTTTATTTGTGTTTTTCTTGACCATTGATTTATTGTATGTTTTTTTCATTCATGCTAAATTTTGTGTCAAATAAAATATCTATCTATCTATCTATCTATCTATCTATCTATATATAAATGTATCCACTATTGGCACCGTAACAGTGACAATAACGGCAATGGATTCACTATTAACACCACAGTAATGCTGTTTGCATGTACTGACAACACACATGAATGAAATGAGTAAATGAAAGCCATCTCGAACGAATATTACTAAAAAAAGAAATAACTGGTCATCACTGTTCAGCTGTAGAATAGAATAGAATATTGCTTCATTACAATGTTAACAAAAATTGACAATTATTTTTTGGTTTCTACACATGTAGAAGGGAATAAAGCTAAAAACAAAACGTGTGACTGTATGTTAAGCAGTATAGTTTTGTTTCTGTAAAAACATGTCATTTCGTTCACACACATTGTAAGTAGCATGCTACCATGTCCACACATACACAATTTGGTTGCCCAGTAAGGCTGCAGATAACAACAAAATTTGTCTTTAGAAAAAATAACATTTCTTTCAGTTCTTAGCAATGAATATATAGGTAATAAAAAGTTTCAAACAAGTTATTAAAATCTACCAATTAGATCTGCAGTAAATAAAATTTGCAATAATATGAGGTTATTACGAGGATACCTCAAAGTATGCACAAGACAGTACAACAGGGGTATCGCATTTCCTTATTATGGTAGGATGAAGATGATACTCTGTAAAATACTGCAAAATTGCAAAATTACGGCACGCTGTAACTTATGGCATTATGGTGACAGATGTATAATAATAATGTTTATTCAAGAAATTTGAGACACAAACTTGGCTAACACCCTATTAACAAAATGAAAATAGTTTGACTGTAAAGCTTGATATAAGAGTGGTTTCATGACATTTTCTGTAGTAGGAACTCAGTTCCTGTGATTTAATACAGTTAAGTTTAATCATTTTTTGTATTATTGTTTGTGTTTAGGTCAATATCCTCCTCAACAGCAGCAGCAACAGCCACATCAACCATATCAAGTTTATCCAGCAGCTCCTGCATACCCCACAGGAACAGGACAGTATCCAATGTATGCAATGCCACAACAACAACAACCCGCAGGAGGCTTCCCACAGGAACCACCACCACCATATACACCACCACAACAACAACAATATGTAAGTCAAGATTCAATTGAACGTTTCAGTTTTCGTATATGCATTCAAAATGTAACCATATGGTTGTGATTTATATTTTGACAGGGACAAATGGGTGGCTACCCCCATCAGCAACCATATCAACAACAGCCATACCCTGCACCAAACTCAACTGTTGTGGTGCCAAATGCATTTGATGCAGGTGCACGATTCGGTGTGGGATCATCTGTCAATATCCCTGTAAGTATTCTTCATTATCCTTACTTAGGTCTCTTTCTAGACTAAGATTCTAATACTGTAGTAGTCTTGTCTTCTTTATTTTCTTTTGTTAACTACTTTTTTTAACTACTTTAAATATCTTCTTTTCACATTTTATTTTTCTTTGCATGTTTTTTGTTATAGCCACCACCTCCTGGTGTTGCACCCAATGCTGCTCAGATTGCGGCAATGCGAGGAGATAGAGTAGTTGCGGGCAAGAAGAAAGGTTTATCTAGTGGCGGGTCATCCTGGTTCTAACCTAGAAAAGCACTCCCTTGTGCATGTATTCTTTTGCTCACTAACATTAATAAGCTATTATTACTTAATAATTCTTTTGTTTCTTAACAACTATTCTTGTAAAGAATAATTTTTAACTACTGTGTACATATTCCAGTGTAGATCAATGCAAAGCTACTTATAAGATTGTACCTGATTTGCTGCCCAACCTAAATACCTAAAAGACAGACCAATCAGAAAGCAGCTTGTTTATTGACAGGTTGTTTCGACATATCAAATTCTGCCTTGTATATATGCTTTGACTTCACTGGAATACAGCTGTTATTAGATCCAGTAGAGCAAAGTCTTACAACGAATAGGATTCTGCTAGCTGCGTCAACTTCCTGGCGTTTCTCACACATATTTTGTTTTTCTCAGTATTGTTGACCCTGTAAATTTAGGTGGAGCATTTACATTTTTGTATAAGTTTATTGTTAATTTTTGACCAAATTGACACAATTTGTTTACAGATTAGATCAAAAATATATATTATTTCGTGATAGTGCTAAAATTTAGTCAAGTGTTCAAAGTAATAAACTGCACAATTCTTATTTATTTATCGTGAACACATTCAAATAGATAGACAAGTTGGCATTATTGTAAGTTATAGTGCTTTTGACAACTGATATAGAGATCTATTATAGATTTTAAAATGAAGAGTGCCCTCTGTGTTCAGTTATTAGGTAAGGTAAAAATGTGTAATGTACGAGAATGTTATTATTGCAGCCACCACCACCAGGAGTAGCACCAAATGCCGCACAAATGGCGCAATCACAAGGACAAAATGTGCAGCTGGGACAACGCCAAGGAAACTGGATGAGTGGAGGTTCAGATGGTGGTTCTGTATGGTGGTAGTCGAACATGGTTATGAAAATCATCTCCTCTCTGGCATTTACATTGTATCCTATCTTGAACCTGAAAAATATATAACTTTAGACTTCTTTATCAGGCATTGGTCGTCATGCTACACACATTGGAGGTAAACAATTCATGTTGTCCAAAAAGTGTGTATGTCACATAAAGAATCAATATTGAAATGTGCCATAATCATCAGTCTTAAAATTGAAATAGACAGTTTCATGGTTAAATGTGATTAATCTGTTTTAGCACTTCGTTCTGTTTGTATACATATCAAATTTTGTCTGTTAGAAGCAAGTACAGTATGTTTTTGTAAACAACCAGTTGAATAAATAACATACATGGTTCAATTTGTTTTTGGTGTACCGGTACTTAAATTGCACCAAAACTTACTGTTTGCACAGTCTGTGCTTCTAATAGAGCAAAATTTTGGTACTGTATAAATTCACTGGGTTATAATTTTGCTATTTTTGCTGATAAGTAAAATCCACAGATTTAAATCAGTGGAAACATGTAGAATCATTGTTTCCCTGCCCTCTGTAAATATGCTCAATACATCAAAATAGTGAAATTAAATGTCAGTGATATGTAAACAAGCTCATGACTTTTTGTCTGCATATTCAGTGTGTATCAAAAAGAAAATTATGAGAAGATTATGATGTGATGCCTGACAATCCATGAACCCCCCAAATGGTCGTAGTATTAATTGTAACTAGTGTTGCATATCCCTATGGACATCTATGCTGTAAACCATTTAGTTTTCACTGCTAGGATGTCACAAGGACAATGTTTTGTGAAAGTTATTGTAACTCTGTGTCTTCAGTACCCTGGTGAAAATCATAGAAAATTGTCCCTAACAAAATTAAAACGACAATCTATTTATTTATTCAATTGGTTGGTGACGGACCTTCAAAAAACATTGTTGGGAAAAAAACTCTTCCAAGATGCATATAGTGTGTCAGTTATATTATTACCAGAGATGCATGTACCATAGTTTGTTCAAGTATTATGCGACGGTCAGAGCTTGGCATGCAAGTGTTTGGATTCTGAGATATTAATATATTTCTATAGCTGTTTCTCCAATAATTATACAATACATGCAAGTAATGTTGTATTATTTTCTCATTCCATCCTATCATAACATTAGTCTGTACAGGAGCCCACCAACTAGAATATAAAACATGTCTAATTGATTCAGGGTTTTAATTGTACATATGTGTGAATTGTATTGTGAATTATACTAGGGGGTACTGATGTCATTGTGAATTATACTAGGGGGTACTGATGTCATTGTGAATTATACTAGGGGGTACTGATGTCATTGTGAGTATACTAGGGAGTGTGAATTGTATTTTGAGTTATTCTAGGGAGTACTGATGTCATTGTGCTGTATACTAGGGAGACTGGTGTAATTATGATTTGTCGTTATGTGGCGTTATTGGGGGGGGTTCAGTAGCATTTTAAAAAGCTTTCAATTCTGGGATTCTTTTTGTGCTTAATATACACTACTTTAAAATACTTTATTTTTGCTGAAGGGATGATTCATTAAAAATAAAATCCAGCATATATACCTTTTTTTCCTATATTTTGCATTCAACTCATCAAAAGTCAGTGAAAAACACCCAAAAGGTCTTGTTCAGCTAAATAAAGTATTTGATATGAATTGTGCATCTGCAATATTGCATGCACACAATGCATGTAAAAATATACCTAACTGCACTTGTTTGGCGATTTTTATTATTTTTCTATTGAGAAAATTTTCTTTTATATTTGTATATAACAGAAATAAACTTCAAATGTAAAACATGTCAAAGGAATTTTGAGTTGTGTTTTAGATTTGTGAAAGCAATCTTTTGATTCAAGCAGTACTTGGAATGACTACTGCACGTTGAAAAACAATTGTGATGTGTGAACAGCCTTTTCACTCATTTTTGATACTTTGTTGTGGGAGGCATGACAAATATGTAATGATATTTACAAGATTTCATTGAATATGTAAGCTCTCCAGTTTGTCTCAGAGTAATATCATTTTTGTTTTTATTTTAAGTCTGTATAAACCTGTATACTGAATAATGGTACTATGAATCTGTTGATTCTTTCATTATTGATGTTATTACAGACTGGGATTCAACATTGTATATAACCTGTGAACTTTACAGGAAATTACATCATAGATCATTTGCCATGATTTTCACCAGTGAACGAAATCAACAATTGGAAGATAAACCCTCATTCGATCTCTTAACATACTTCATGGAATTTCACTGTGTTCATCTCAGGCTAGCCATCCATGTTCACACACAAGGCCCCCCCCCCTCCCAATTTTTTGTTTCTAATCTTTAAAATTATCCAATTTTTTAGTAACAGACAGCTCTACTTTCATTGATGTAATATTTGTAATGTCATGTTTACATTATCCTGTGTTGAACTTAGTACTAAATTATTAAACCATGAAATAAAAAGGAGGGCAATTCTTGCGGTTTGTATTTATACTTGTATTCTTAATAATGTCCAAGTATCTTGTAAAAAAAAAAATTTTATTCAGTGAAAATAAATCTATCTGAACATGTAGTTTTTACTTTTCATCCACACCTCAAATGGAACCTGAATGTGTTCTGCATGATTTGGGCAAACTTTCTTGTATTTTTGTGGCAATGTTTCACATATTAGTGTGGGGTTACTAAATGTTTTATTTTACACAATTCATTATGCCCAGGTGTATCGCCGAGCCTCTCCACCAATCAAAGCTGTCTTCTTGTACAATGCTGTACCCCGCTACATTGTTATTGTGAAACACGAGTGTACACAAGCATATACAAAACAAAATGCTGTAGAAATGTACCTTTTATGCTGGCTATGTATTTACCATTACTGTAAACTCTCTAATTTAGGCACAGGGGAAAAATGAAAGGCGTCACAAACTGTTGAAAAAAAATATTGGTATTTCTACTTAAAGAAACACTGATTTTTTATCTAATATGCATTTGTTTTAATTTTGTTAGAAACGAAAAGTATACATGCACATGTAGTCTAAAAGAACTTTCAAATAAAACAAACACTGATGCAAAATTGCTTAGATCATGGTAGCGCATTCTGGTCATGTCACTTTATGACCTTCCAAAATTCTTGGATTTTCTGCAACTTAATTGTTTTGTTTTTAGTTCCACTGTCATAGACAGAGTGGAGCTGTTCAATATAAAGATACCTGAGGAACGTGACAATGTCATTAATAATCTTTTTTTTCGATTTGTTTATTTTTATGGTGGTAACACTAATTCTCTATTTTTGATACAAAATGATATTTTCAACAACTTCTTGGAAACTACAAGCCCTACTGCATTGATATTTGAAGTGTACATAATTTTTGTGAACATGTATGAAGTTAGGTTGTTGGTTAACCACGTTTTGTCTTTTATATGGATGTGCATTCCTTGACTTGGCTACCAGAATGTTTTTGTAGGACAGCAATGCTATTTTGACCATCAGGTCGCTTGTTTCTTTGTAATTTTTTTTTTTTGGCTTTGTCTTGTTTTTTTGTACATTGCTGAAGATCCGCTCTGCTAGGTTTGCCCTTAAAATGACTTTTGTAGGTTTGTGTGTGTGTGTGTGTGTGTGTGTGTGTGGTCTGTGTATGTGATTTCCAGTGTTTTTATGTATATTTTTTTGGATAGCTTCACGCCAAATGTATCTCCTACAAATTTAAAATAAAACACCTCAGACATAGCTCATTTAAATCAGCTTGAGTGTGGGCACAAAGTTACTATTAGAATTTTTGATATCTTTTTTCATTACTGAGAAATTTGACCCAAAAGTTATGGTAACTGTTCACCAGGAATGGCTTTTTTGGCTGAGCCGATTTTGTTCAAACTTGGCAGGCAAGTCACACCTTCACTCTAGTAAGGTTTTAAAATCAAAAAACAAATTCTGGCCAACCATTTCTATGGCAACAGCCAAACAACTAATTGTTTAATACATTTGCACCAAATGTATCTCACCCTACATTTCTACGATTAAAAAGCACGGGCGTAGCTCATTCTACTCAGCTTGAGTGTGGGCATAAATTTACAGTTTTTTTATGTCATTACAGAGAAAATTGACCTGAAATTTGAGGTAACTTAACACCAGCAACGGCTTTTAACTGCTCTGTGATTTGTTTTGACTTGGCTGATTTTGTCCATACTTGACAGTATTGTCACTAATGGGAAAAAAAATCATCTTTGATCCAATTGCGCAATAAATTGTCATGGACATGTATCCTAACATGTATAATCTATGTACCAAGTTTGAATGAAAACTGACAAAGAATGTCCAAAATACAACATTTTCAAACAACAAGATGGCTGCCAGTCGGCCATTTTAAATCGGATCGCTAAACCACTGCATGTGCATATGTCCCACGTAAAGTACTAGGCACATGCAAAGAATGAATGGAATGGGTCCAAGGGATTCTAAGATACAACTCCGAACGGAGACCGAATTATAAGTCCCTGTTTTCGTACTTCGTCCGAACGGGGACTAAAAACTGATTTTGAACACTTTCACTCCAAATTTATTACCTCCTACAGTCTTGTAATAGCAGTGTTCAAATGATCATGCTTTTTATTTTGGCTACGTTGCGCACTGGTAAGAGATCACTGGCGCCAACATTGTTACACTCTATCAACGCAACTTTGAACGAACTGTAAATGCTGCCTTCAATCTAGAAAATATTGGAAATAATAAATTTAACAACAGAATACGTCCTAACAATAAAATAAAGTAACTTCTAAAGACTGAATAATTTTTTGCGAACTTTGTACACGTGATTCGGTTTTAGTTATAAACCGATGTTAGCTTCACGTTTATGTCCTACCATGACAACAGCCGAAAACATGTTGCTTGCTTTTTGAGCGGAACGGATCGCCAACCAGCCTACCAGCTTGTATACAATATCAACCATTCCAGTGGATGTTAAGTGAATAAATAGATTTACTTATATTCAAAGTGTTGAAATTGTTGATTCTTACTCAGTCATGATTATAATAAAGTACAAAAAATCAATTGATTGGATTGTTATGAAATTCTACTCAGTTTCTTTGTAAGCAAATGTTACTCGTTGCAGGAAAACACTTGCTGCGATACAATATATGCCATGTTTTTTCAATACACAAGTTGCCCTGAAACTGTGTTCCTTGACCTCATAGGTCAAGTTGATTATTAACCAATCAGAGTGCTGGATGGTGCAACATGTTCAAATTATCATAGCTCATTTAAATATGTTAATGAGGGTTCAGCGACATCACTGAATGGTGAATACTACACAAAAGAAATCTACTGATGTTGTAGTAAAATATTTTGGCATTGATTTTAGTCGGGAAAACAGCATGATTATTTTTTAATAAAGAAATTAGTAGTTTTCAAAAGATTAATTGAGCTTTGTCTAAAGATTTAACACTTTTTACTAGGATAATAGCACATTGTTGAAACAGAGTTTACCCATTGATGCTAGTCACAATAAATGTTGTACTCTTGAAAAGTCGTCAGTAACTACAAGAAACCTAAACTCAAATTTAGGCTTCAGGAAAGATTGAAATTTTCCACAAATTTACGGTTATCAAAAATGATTGCAACATACGCCTCCATATTTGGTAAGTGAATGAAGATTTTCAATCCATCCACCAATCACAGCTGAAACTAGCAGGTCTGAGATAGATTGACACGATTAATTTTAACAACTTTACTAAACAGTAAACGATGGACTTCCATGTCTACTGGTAGTTATGTTGATTCACTTGCATTTTTTGAGTCAGAATTCAAATACTGGCTTACATGATGGTCAGGCAGTGGTAGACAGTTTATGTTAATATAATTTAATTGTTGAAATAAATACAAGTAGCTATAAAAATATATGCGATGTAACTGTGCTCTAGAGTTGAGTTTGGAGAACCATTCAGGGAAGCTGGAAAACCTGTCCACTAAATACAAGATTTCTGTGAAAGATCAAGTCTGTCACCATGGTCACAACTTTACAGAGTAAACTGCGATCATCTGCATAATCCTGAGAAAGAATAAAAACAAATGGTATTAATACACCTTTTTACCTGGCACCCTCTAGTGATGAAGAGCTGCTATGATGACGGAACAAGAGTTATTAAATTTGAACGTTAAACAAAACAAAAAATTTATGTTTCCTGTAACTCAAAGTTCTGTTAATTGTTAATTGGACATCAAGTTACAATTTAGATATGGTTTTGCTAAAGTGGGTGTGGTCATTTTTGTAACTCGATGTTTTCGTAACTTGATGTTTGTAACTCGATATCCGTTACTCGAACAATTCAGCATCTCTCCAAAATCACAATATATGGTCAGAAATTAAGCATTTTTTGTATCCAAACTAAATTTCATATGTCCAGGCTCATGTGAAGACATACAAAACATGAAATGACTCATCATGGGCATGTATCTCAACATTTGAAACATTCGAATACTGACAAATTCCGTCCAAGACTTCACATTCCCAAAAAATTAAGATGGATGCCAGTTAGCCATCTTTGATCTGATTATGGAACAGACTGACATGGATATGTATTCCTATACGTATGACATATGAGCCAAATATGAATGAAAATGGTTCATAAGCCTTGGAGATATAGTAGTATGGTCAAAAAGCAGGATGGCCGCCAGTCAGTTCTATAATGTCCAATGTATGTACCAACTTTGAACAAAATCCATCTGTAAGCATCCAATTCTTCAATATTGCTGGAAATGAACCCTAATTTTGAAGCCAACAAACAAAATTTGAGTAAATTTTCAGTTTAAACTAAAAAAATTGGCTATTATTGTCACAATCTTCTGAAGGAGAGTGCAGACAAAAAACAGGACTATTTTATGAATTTGTGATAAAAGAGGGAATTGGTGGTGAAAAGGCTAATCCTGTGGGCGCCAGAATTTAAGGTATTTTAGACATGAAGTACAAATAAGGAATACTGTATTTACTATTTTAGAAACACATCTACAATACACATAAAGCAAATATTGTGTTTTTTACATGCAAAATATGTCTTACTGTAATCATTGAAATCTGTTGAATGATTCTTGAGAAACAGTACCTAAAATTGGCTAATTATTATGCAAATTAGGTAATTATTATGCATGGATTTCAACCAAAAACTAATCAGGTCTGCACATTATCCCAGAGCATATATGTACCAAGTTTCACTGAAAATCTGTTGATTGGTTCTTGAAATATCAGTGGAACAAACACACACAGAAGCACTAACCTCAAAGACTCTCGTGTGCTTCATATATGGGAGTCAAAAATTAGTTCTGTTTTATTGTGTGAATTGGTGACAAAAAGGTCAAAAAAATATTCCCAGTGAAATTTCACTGTTTGTAAATAGAATCTAATGTTTCAGATTATTTGTATGAGCATAAGATTGCGTGTACCTATGCCAATATACTGTAAAACATGTTGAAAAAGCGGCATGCAATTTTAGCGAATTGTGGTAAAATGATGTAATAGCGAAATGTTGATTTAGCAAATCTCTCTTGTCATTGTTGATTTCTTTGTTTGGTGGCCATTTTGAATTGATAATATGGTCATGAGCGACATCTTGAATTAGCGAATCAGTTCCCTCGCTAAATTATTATATTAAATGCATTTATATGTAAAAAAAACATATCACACGAAATATCTCCACTCTCAAAACAATCATAATAGGTTTTGTTTTTGTCAAAGTTTGACACATTGAGGAGTAAATTTCTGTCAGGCAGACACTGAGAAAGGTGCATGATACGAGTCTTTGGTATGAAACACAGAAGCTATGAATAAATCAGATAGTTACCTGTTGTGTTGTTATAAATACTGTATTGATACAAACACCATGAACTATGCCCTCGGTGGCCAACTTTTTGCACATACTGTGATAAAGCTGGTATTGCTGCAATACATCATCTCCGTTACCATGTTGAGCCATGACAACAAGTGATCCACCATTTTTACACTGATTTTGTAGTTTCTTGTAAGTTTCTTTAACAAGACAATGACTATTTTGACTTGGTAATGTGAACTGAAAACAACCAGAAAATATTGCTATTGATATACTGTGAAGCAGGTATGTTAATTCCAATACTACATTTATAAAACATAATACATGGAATTTCAAAATGCCATGAATGTATTTTTTTTATAGAAATTTATATAACCTTAACCCGGAAGGAACTCATAAGTTTTCATTGGCCAGAGAAGTCCTTTTTTAATGCTCATTAACCAATTTACATGGATTATTGATACCATCAATTGTACTCAAAACTCTTCAAACTTTTACAGGTTACAGGACATACAGTGAAAGACATAAA